TTCTCCCTCTCCTATTCCCCCTGCTTGTATTCCCTCTCTCGCTGTGTCTCTCTCTGTCAAATAAATAAATAAAATCTTAAAAAAAAAAAAAAAGATGTGAACATTTTAAAAACCTTCATGCAATATGCCAAATTGTCCAACAAAAATGTTGGTTATTTACCCGAAAAATAAAAAAAACACTAATTCAAAGGGATACATGCAGCCCTATGTTTATTGCAGCATTATTTACAGTAGCCAAATTATGGAAGCAGCCCAAGTATCCATCAACAGACGAAAGGATAAAGAAGATGTGGTATATATATATATATTATTCAACCATACAAAGAATGAAATCTTGTCATTTGCAACTACATGAATGGAGCTAGAGAGTATAATGCTAAGTGAAATAAATCAGTCAGAGAAAGACAAATGCCATATGATCTCACTCATATGTGGAATTTAAGAAACAAAACCAATGAGCAAAGAAAAAAGAGAGAGAGAGAGACAAACCAAGAAACAGACTCTTAACCATAGAGAGCAAACTGATGTCACCAGAGGGGAGACATGTGGGGGATGGGTGAAATAGGTTGATGGGGATTAAGAGGACACTTATCATGATGAAAAAAATTAAATGATTTGAAAAAATCTGTACCTTTAACAAGTCAAAAAAAAAAAGAAATGTTACACTGGATTTCTCCTCCATCAGCAATGTATGATATGAAGTGTTCCCTCTCATTTGAGATCTTGGTTAAGTATTACCATTAAATAATAGTAATAATAATATTCTAGACAAAATATTATCTCATTGTTGCTTTAATTTTATTTCTTTGATTATTATTGAGGTTGAACATTTTAAATATAGTTTTTGATTTTTATATTTCTGCTTTTATGAAGTGCATATTTAGGACTATTGTCAATTTTCCTGTCCACTTATAACAGCACTTTTTATATAATGGGCATGTTGTCATATTTTGTGAAACAGATGAGATTGGGCTGATTAATGTTTTATTTTATGGAGTCTTGGTTTATTTTTATTATTACAGGCTCTCCATCCCAGGATTAGCTCCATAATTATTTCTGTTTCTCTCATGGTTTCTTTTTTATTTGAATTTGACCCTTTCAACCACCCAAATTTAATTGTGATACATAATCTCAGGAAGAGATAAATCCTTTTTACACTAAACTGAAATTACAGCTTAATAGATGCAGCCTTTTTTGGTGTGGTTAATTTGGGTCCATTTTCTTCCAGTTATATTCTCCTCTATTAATAAATTTGTCTGCCTTCCTGGAGCCAATAGCTCAGTTATTATTGTAATGTTTAATGATATGGTCTAATACCTGGAAGTGGAAATTCTCCTTCATGGCTATTAGTTTTTAGTCATTTCTTGCTATTGCCAGTGGGACTCCTATTCCAAATGAATTTAATTTACTTATTATTATTTCCATCTCCCCCACTGAGAAAGAAATGGGATTTTGAATAAAATCACATTAAATTTACATTAGTTTGTTATATTGTGTTTCCCTCTCCCCACTGGAAAAATTATTTTGTTTAAAATCACATTAAATTTATAATTTGAGGAAATTTGAAGAAAACCAACACCTTTTAATTTTTAGTTTTCTTATCACAGAAAGAATGTTTTTCTCTTAAAAGTTCTTACATTATATCCTTCAGCAAAATCACACATCTTCATCTGTGGTCTAGTTTCTTTAGATGAAAATCTTTTTTTTTTAAACATTATATTTTTAGCAAATTGTTCCTGGATATTGATATTTGTATATTTATTTTATGAACAAATGTTTCATAATCATCCTCCCAAGCTCTCATAATAGCCCATTTTGCTAGTAGCTTCTATTGGGTTTTTCAGGTAGACACACACTCACAACAATTTAATCACATCTATGTTTTTTCCCTTCCTAGTGCTTTGAACTGACCATTCTAGAACAATATTAAATAATAGTATTAAGGGTGGGCAGCTTTCTCTTCATCCTGACACTAAGAGGAATTTCACTGAGTAGATACTGACTGTGACTGAGACAGATACTCTTTCACACACTAAAGGAGTACAATAGCCCTTCTTATCTGTGGCTTCACTTTCTGTGGTTTCAGTTACCCATGGTCAACGGGGGTCTAGAAGCAGATGCTCTTTCTTCTGACTTGTCAGAAGGTCAAAAGTAGCCGAATGCTATGTCACAATGCCTACGTCATTTACTTCACTTCATCTCATCCCGTAGGCATTTCATCACCTCACATCATCACAAAAAGGATGAGTGCAGTACAGTAAGATATCTTGAAAGAGAGAGACTACATTCACAAAACCTTTATTACCGTATATTGTTATAATTGTTCTATTTGATTATTAGTTGTTGTTGTCAGTCTCTTATCATGCCTAATTTATAAGTTAAACTTTATCATAGCTCTGTGTGTATAGGAAAAAAACATAGTATATGTAGAGTTTGGTATTATCCGTGGTTTCAGACATCCACTGGGGGGTCTTGGAACACATCTCCCATGGAGAAGTGGGGACTACTCTATGCAACTGTCCTAACTGACTAACAGTGCTTTAGGAATTTATGTCCATGTTATTAAATGTCTATTTGAAATTTGTTGGGATGAGCATATATTCATTTCTTCTTTTGTGAGTAAATAGATCTCCTAATATGTAATTGTCCTTTTGTTCCTGGGATAAACTCTACTTCCTTGTTGTGTGTTATTTTTTAGAACATACGATTTGCTATTGTAATTTTTTAGGCTTTTGGTGTCCATTTTTTAAAGTATGTTAAGTCGGTCACTTTCTTATTTTAGTACTTTGTCCAACTGTGGTATCATAGTTACCGTAGCTTAATAAGTTGACAGATAAAATTTCACTTATTTTCCCTGCTCTAAAAATGATTGGTTACTTGGAACTGAAATAATTCTACGGTCACTTCGCTATTATCCACCTAAGCAGAGATGAGTCATGATTCAGACAATCTAGAACAACCTAGAACAGCTTCCCAGATTCACTATGACTTTAAATTTTTTTAAAAAAACCTTACCAATTGCAATTAGTGTGGACATCCGTTTCATACCGCTGACTGAGCCTTAGGAAAACTTTGGCAGTTAAGTTTTGTCCATTAGAAAGGAGTCAATGTGTAATTATATGTAGGTGGTAAGTAACAAAAGAAATGCAAATTTAAAAAAAGAAATCCTTTTCTCCTATAAATTAAAAAAAGAATTCTAGCGTTCAAGGTTGGTGAGGTGTGGGGAAGGCTCAGAAGCATGGATGAGAGGTTTAAAGTGGCATGAGGTTTCTGAAGGGCATTTTGGCAAGACTTATCAAAAAATACACATCTTTTTCCTGGAACACATCTTTTGACCTAGAAATGTCACTCCTAATAATGCCATTAATGATGGCTTCAAAGATTTCATGACAATGGTATTCATCAAGCCATTATAGGTAATGAAGAATTTGTACAGCTGTTAAAATTAAAGCAAATACTTAGTGAAATGGATATACTACATGTTCAAAACATATTTGAAGGAGAAAAACAGAATATACACCAACCAGTTGGCAGCGATTTATCTCTAGATTTGGAGATGACAGCTTGACTTTTTTTTCTTATCTGTGTTTCCTAAATTTCTACAATGAATAAATATTTATTCTAAATAAATATTTATTCAATGAATAATAATAATATTTGTTTATTTTTAAATAGGGGAGTAAAAATGGACTGTAATACAATCTTAACTTTGTTGCTCTAAACACAAATATTGTCACAATAAGGGTTGTGTTTTTAATATTCAGACCTGGCTATGCAAATAAATATGGGGATGTACGAATACAATGGGAAAAGTGGCTACAGATTAAAGCCAGAGTTCATGAGGAGACCTGACAAGCATTTTGATCCATTCACCGAAGGCATCGTGGATGGGATAGTAGCCAATACTTTATCTGTCAAGGTACGTACCTCTCTATTACAAAACTGTCCCCAACAAAAGTCTCAAACAGTACCTATTTTGCACAAAGAAGTAGTTTAGTCATCAAAAATTTAGAGCTAGCAATATCTCCACCTTCTTCATGCATTTTTCCTTTAAGGACCAAATCTGAATTATAAGTTTCAGAAGCCATATGCATGAGATAAAGGGACTAAGTCCTATTCTTTAATAGGATAAAAATTGGACCCTAAATCAATAAACCAACTTGAAGAGTCACCATGGTTGGTCTTTTCTTTTGGTACAAATATCAGTGACCTATGTTGGAGAAATCTTCTGGTCTTTTATTTCTCCATTTAGTTCTAGAAAAATAGCCACTCTGAGCAAAACTAGAGAAAAAAAGGTATTCTCTCAATTAATTGTTAACTATTGAATAAAAGTTCCCAAGTTACTGTTTTGAAAATCTATCAGTATTCAGGGACTTAAAACACAGAGTAGTGATATTAAGTAAAAGAATTGCTTCATTAAACATACATCTGACCTTAAAATATTAATTCAAAATTATTTCTGCAGTCTTTGAAATTGATGTTACATCATATAATTTTTTTAGCTGTAAGAAAATATTTTGTGCTATGAATGAAAAATCATTTCATAGGAGCTTTTTATGTGAATTCTATAAGCTCTTGGTTGCTGTGGCTGTTTCATTTACTTCTTTAAAGTTTCCTTTCTTGGGGTGCCAGGGTGGCTCAGTCGTTAAGCGTCTGCCTTCGGCTCAGGTCATGATCTCAGGGTCCTGGGATTGAGCCCCGCATCAGGCTCCCTGCTCAGCGGGAGGCCTGCTTCTCCTCCCACTCCCCCTGCTTGTGTTCCTGCTCTCACTATCTCTCTCTCTGTCAAATAATTAAATAAAATCTTTTAAAAAAATAAAATAAAATAAAGTTTCCTTGTAGTCCTCGTGGTTCAAAGATGAAATGGACCACCTCAGGAAGGGGCTTCCACATTTCGGCGGACAAGGGCATCCCAGAAGGAGGCCAGGCATCAGACTGGCGGTTGGACTAGATGATGTTTGAGGTCCCTTCCAGCCCTAACATTCTGTGCCCTTCCCTGGGCTCTGCGCAGAGGGGAGCGCTCTCCCAGTGCTCCCTGGGCCGTGGAAAGGGGAGCGAGAGCGTGGTGGCTGGTGGTCCCTGATGCATCCTGCCAGAAGGGTCTCCCCAGCTTGGCCCATAAGCCTCCCTGGATAACACCAAATGGATCACTTAGGAAGTCTGGGCCTTGCAGTGTATCCTTGCTCTTCAGTAAGGCGGGGAGGGGGGAGGGAGGGGGGGAGGGGGGGTAAACAATAGTTAGGGAGTTTTAGTTTTTCTCTCTATCTCTCTCTGCCTCTGTCTCTCTCTTCATCATCTTTTCAGGGACCTCCATTTAAAGATTCGGAAACTGAAGCCTGATACCTTATCGAGCATCACATACAGCCCCTCCCTGGCTAAGCTCAGGTCCCCTTCCCCCAGGAGCGGGGTATCCTCCCTGTGCTGCCCCTGCGCAGTTTGCAAAGGGCTTTCAAGTAGGGGCACTTGGGTGGCTCAGTTGGTTGGGCGTCTTACTCTGGATTTGGGCTTAGGTCATGATCTCAGGGCCCTGAGATGGAGCCCCTTGTCCTCAGGCTCTGCGCTCAGCTGGGAGCCTGTTTCTCTTGCCGCCCCTTCCCCCTCCCCCCATGCACATTCTCTCTCTCTCCCTAAAAATAAATAAATAAAACTTTTTTTTTTTTAAAGGGTTTTCAAGTAGATGACCCTGCCTTGCCCCAGAGCACATATCAGTGGGCCCATTTTACAAAGAAGTAAACCAAGGCACGGAGAGGTTAAGTGACCTGGTGCGTGGTAGAACTGGGATCCAGGCTCCTCTGGTTGTACCCTTCAGTACAGCTCTCCCCCCTTCACCCCACACCTCCACTCCCCCCGCCCCCCCGAGCTCATCCCCTTCTCCTGGTTCTCATCCAACCCCCGTCCACATTGTCGCTGCCACCTCCTTTTGCCAAGCATCTCAGTTCCAGGGTCTGTCCCTCTCCCTCCAGGACTGGTTTGGTCCCTAAGAAACCATACTTCGCTCAGGAGGAGCTCTTCACACCTCCCCCCATTTCCCCCTACTTTGCATTGAACAAAACTGCAGTTTTCACATCGATAATTATACTCTGCATCCGCTTAGCACTTGCAACTCCCTATAGCACTTTCCCATCTAGGGCGGGTTCTTCCGAGCAAGCCCATGAGATGGACAGTGTCCTCCCTCTGGCGCCATGCAGGGAAGGGGCACTCAGGAATGAGGGCCTGGTTCCAGTTCCAGGTCGGCCGGCTAATCGGGGACAGAATCAGGAGAGAACCCAGTGGATTTCCCGTCCCGCTCTCTCTCAGTACTACTACGTCCATGTCCATTTCTTGCCGGGGATTGCCCTTCTTTCTCAAAGGGCTACCAGGAATCACTTTAAAGAAGAGGAAGATCAGGGCGCCTGGGTGGCTCAGTTGGTTAAGCGACTGCCTTCGGCTCAGGTCATGATCCTGGAGTCCCTGGATCGAGTCCCGCATCGGGCTCC